TTGGCTCAGCACCTTTGGGCCTGCGTTGATGTGCCCAAGAGCTGGAGTTTGGGTGAAGGCAGAGGGAACATACATTGTCTGGGATTTTGCCCATTCTGTATCCATGGCCCCATTTCCCCTTCAGCAGCCAACTTCCCCTCCCCTCCTGGTCGTGGTCTCGATGGGGTGGTCACTCAAGGTGCTACCTCTGCCTCCTCTGGCCAACGGTGGGATGTGGCCCAGGCTACGCTCTCTAGAATTTGACTCTTGAGTCTGCACATAAGTTGTTCCACTCATGTCCAAAGTTGCCCCTTGAAAAGAATGTCCGTTCGAGGCTCAGAGCTGTTCTGGCTTCTGGTTTTCCTTGTCGACTGCAATTCCTTTGATTAATGAGATCCTGGTAATAAATGAGTCAATAAACAAATTAAAGGAGTAACTATATACGCACACACATGTATATTTATAGTGTAGGTTCACCAGAATCACCTTCTGTTGCTTGCTACCAAAGAACCGTAATTAATATACCAATGGCGATGGTTTTGTTGGATTCAAGCCATAAAAAGCTAGCTTAAGCAAAAAAAAAAAAAAAACAAAAAACAAAAAACAAAAAAAACAACGAGAGAGAGAGAATGCATTGGAAAGATACTGGGATATCTTAGAAAATGGAAAGACAAGTTGCTTGGGAAGGCTGGGACCCAGGGCAGGTCTGGAGGATTCAGCAGAAGGGCAAATACTGCCCCAGAGTATTTGCTTTTGTTCTCAGCTGTGTCTCCTTATGGTGGCAAGATGGCTGCCATATCTTAAACATCACAACAATACCCCAAGGCCTCTTTAGATAATTGCCAATGGTGTGACTCCATTTTGGTGACTCTCACGCTCTGTATCTGCTCCAAGTTTCCAATTCCCAAAAGAGAAAATCTGATTGGCCTGGTTTGGGATAAGTGTCTACTCCAGTGGGGTGGGGTTTCATGATCCAGACAGGGCAAGTGGGGGGGGAGGGGACCTCTGTGTTCTGGGGTAGCCATTGTGAACGGGGTGGCTGTCCTAGAGATGTGTTTGACCTTGTCCCTTGGTAGACACCAGAGACCTTGGCATGGAAAACAAAGACATGGGTGAAACCATAGGCTGAGAAACCAGTTTGCCAAGGCTGAGTCCTTAAATCATGACCTTTGAGCTGGTTCCACCATCACCCAAGGATTGCTGTGGGCTTCCTTAGACTCGGAGGACTTCTGCCTTGGGAGCCTATACAGGTGCCCAGGACCTAGGCTTGTAGACGGTGACCTTGTATCTGGCAAATGATTTCCCCACACCCACCACCATGCTCTGTATTTTCAAGTCAGCATCCTTAAGACCAGGGTTCTGAGAAATAACAGAGCGCCCTCATTAACAGGGTGCTATTTCTTCACTTTTTAGGATGGGATCAAGCAATTGAGGTGAACTTTACAAGGGGAGGATTTTATTAGGGAGGGAAGAGTGTAATTGAGCAAGCAAGCTGGCTGACTTCAAGTTGGCAGGCAGAAGGACCATGAAAACACTTGTTTCTGAGCTCGTGTGAAATACTCACATGGCCCAGACATATGTGGGGGAGGCTTTAAGGGGCACTGAAGTCCTACATCAACAGTTAGGGACTTCGAGCTGTTGAAATTCTGGTGCAAATGTTCTCGAGACCTTAATTGTACTCACTGGCTCCTGAGGCTTGGGGAACTCTGGGTCAACAACTTTAAGAGGCAGGTGGCATTTTGCCTATGTCACAAGTGCAGAGATGGAGGGTTAGGGGACTGAAGTTACCTTCTCAAGACCCCACAGATAATGAGCAAGGGAGCGTGGATGAATCCCACATCACTCGCATCCCTAAGCCCATTAATCGGGATGCTTTGGTTTCAAATGAAACACAACGAAAAACAGCTTAAATAGAAGAGACGATATCTTTTTTTTTCTTTTGCTGAGGAAGATTAGCCCTGAGCTAACATCTGTGCCAATCTTCCTCCGCTTTATATGTGGGTCTCTGCCACAGCACGGCTGACGAGTGGTGTACGTCCATACCTGGGATCCGAACCCTCAAACCTGGGTCGCCAAAGCGGAGCATGCTGAACCCAACCACTACACCATGGGGTCGCCCCCTCCCCTTTTTTTTTAATGGAAGTCTGGAGGTAGACTGTTCTGGAACAGGTCAACTCGGCAGCTCGATGTCACCAAGTTTCTTGGTTCTTTCCATATTTCTGCTCTGCTAACCCCACAGAAGTGGTTCTCTAAATATTGTCCAGGGACTCCCTGGGGTCTCTGAGACCCTTTCAGAGGTTCCTCAAGGTCAAAATTATTTTCAAAATAATGTGAAGATAGTATTTGCCTTTTCGCTCTGATTATCTCACCAGGGTACACTGGAGACTTCCAGTGGCCACATGATGTGTGAGGATATCATCTCTCTGATGGCCAAGGGAATGTGTGCTTGTGTAGTTGTGTGTTTTGAAAATTTCTTGGTGTCAATTTCCAATACAGTAAAACTTGATAGATGTAGCTCACATAAACAAAAGCTCTTTGAGGTCCTCGATAATACTTAAGAATATAAAAGGGTCTTGAGGCCAAGAAGTTTGACAACCACTGTCCTGGAGTATTTGTTTTTGCTCTCAGACTTGTTTCCTCATGGTTGCAAAATGGCTGCCACATCTTAAACATCACAACACTATCCAAAGGCCTTTTCACTGGGCCTGATTTCTGTAAAGAGAGCTTTCCCAGAAGTCCCTCATCAGACCTTCCATCATGTTTCATTGGCCAGAATTGTATCACACATTCATTCCTTAACCAATCATTGGCAATGGGGATGACTCGTGCCCTGGAGCTAAATACTGCCTCCCTGAAGGCCATGTCCTCCTGATGCCTGAACAAAATTCACGTTTATTTAGCAAGGAAGAAACGGGGTATACATAACTTAAGATATAGGTTCAGCTGCTGTAGCAGAAATCTAAAATAATAGTGGTTTAGTGAAGACAGAAATTTATTTCTCTCTTACATAGCATCCAATCATAAGCTTCCCAGGGCTGGTGTGAAAGCTCTATGGTTCCAGGAATCAGGATCCTTTTATATGGTTGTTTTATCATCTCTAGGCCATTGCGGTCATCACTGTGGTCCCAGAAGCTACCCCATCACATCTGCACTCCTGTAACACAAAAGTAAGGGGAGGGCATGCCCTTTCCCTGTAAGAACACAACCAGGAAACTGCACTATCCTTTCAGCCCCAGTTTCATTGGCTAGAACTTAGTCACATGGCCATGTGTAGCTGCAAGGGAATCTGGGAAATGTAGTCTTTAGCTGAGTGGCCCTGCAACAGTAGAAGAAGAGAATCAAATTAGCCTGTGTTAGTTATGATTCCCTTACTGGGTCTGGGGCTTGCTTCCCCAGAAGGACATGTCCTCTTAATACTGAATCAAATCACAGTTTGGTTAATGTGGGAGAAGGGAGGACTCCCACACTCTACCATACCCGCCATATTCTTGGTGGTCATTGTTAGTTATTACATGACTTGTGTTATTCATCAAACATCAATTGAGGCCTATGAAACAGTTTCTGCTGCTGTGATAAACAGGACTCTGAGCCCTCCCATGAGAAACTCCCATGGGATCTGGTTTCAAATCCTGGCTTCTCCTCTTACTGGCTGGGTGACCTGAGCTGGACCATTTGACCACTCTGAGAATCAGTATTTTCTTCTATAATGTGGTTATGCTAATATCTACCTGGAGGGGTTGTTTTGCGGATAAGATAAGGCTCTGGGAATAATAAACCTTGCCTGGGCCTGGAACATAGTAGGTGTCTAATTATAGGGAGATAGGTAACCGATCCACAGATAACTTTATCAAATAGCATAGCTATGCAATCAGGGGATTCTGAACAAGGTGTAGCCATACCTGCTGGCCTCCATGTTCCCTCCTCATAACCCAGGAAGTCTTTCCTAGCCACCCCAGCCCACAATAGTATTTCCTCTGTGTCTCAGCTAGCTAATGCTGCATAACAAAACACTCTAAAATTTAGTGGCTTGAAACAATGACAACTTTTATTTTGCTCATGAGTCTGTAATCTGGATAAGGTTTGGCAGGGACAGCTCATCTCTGCTCCACTTGGCACCAGTTGGGATGACTTGAAGGCTGAGGGGAGGGGGCTAGAATCATCTGAAAGTTCATTCACTCATGTGTGGCCATTAGGATGGGAAGAGTCAACTATCTGGGGACTGGAACAGCTGGGGCTTCTCCAGCACCTCTCTCGATCTCTCTGTGGTGTCTCCACGTGGCATCTCCAGTATGGTAGCTTCAAGGATACCCAGTCTTCTTGCGTGGTGGCCCAGAGCTCAAAAGGCTCATGTCCTGAGATAGATAGAGTCAGGTGGAATCACAGTGCTTCTTAGGACCCAACCTCAGAAGTCATGCAGCATGAGTCTGCTTCATGCTGTGTGTTAGAAGCGAGTCATTAGGGTATTGTATTGTCTTTCTTTGTCTACAAGGCCAAAGCCAACTCATGACCGCCACATTCCCGTTTCGGTCCACAGGAAGTGGAGGACAAGACTTAAGCTGCTTCTTACTGACTGACCTGGAAGTAATAGATTCATTCTACTTGCCTTCCTATCCCATTGGCCAGACCAGGTCACAGAGGCACAGCGAGTTGCAAGGAAGGCTGGGAAATGTAGTCTTTAGTCAAGTCACAGGTGCTCAGCTAAAACTTGTGGGATACTATTTCTGAAAGGAAAAGGGAGAGAATGCGTGTGCAAGGTTCATAGATAGTCTTTGCCTCACTCATTGAATGAATGAACGAACCCAGAGAATAATGGATGGAGTAATGGATCTATTGATGACCAGTTGACTGCTGAGATCAGCTGAAAGATTGACAAACCCTGGGTTGATTAATTGCCTGAAAGGGGGCAGGCCACCCATTGGCTAATGGGCTAATGGGCTAATGACTGAGGGTTTGGACAGAGGGGCCGCCCTCTCTGCCTCCCCTGTCTGACAACCCCCTCCCCGTGTCCTCCTTGTATCCAGTTCAGCAATGTCACCTTCTTCATCTTTGGGCCTCTCATGATGTATCTGATGCATCCCTACGCCCAGAATCGCTCCCACAGCATTTATGTCTTCTGTATCCTCTTCATGTTCATAGGTAGGTGGCGGTCTGTGACAGAGGGGCAGTGGGGGCGGGAAGGGACAACCCCGTTGACCACCTGCCTTTGTCTCTTGCTCCAGGCCTGTTCTCCATGTACTTCCACATGACACTCAGCTTCCTGGGCCAGCTCCTGGACGAGATCTCTATCCTGTGGCTGCTGGCCAGCGGCTACAGCATATGGCTGCCTCGCTGCTACTTTCCCACCTTCGTAGGGGAGAACAGGTGGGGCGGGGGCTGGCCCTCTGTTGATGCTGCCGGAGTCCACCTGGGCTCCTGGGTACTCCCCCAAGCCCTCTTGGGGTGCCTGGAATCCCTCCTCTGACCACCACAGGACTTTCTCCTGACCCTGTCTGACTTAACTGAGCCTCCATGGGTCCCTCCTCTGAATGTACTTGGGACCTCTGGAAATTCCCCCCTGATCCTACCTGGATAGCCTGGGACCTTCTCCAGACCGTGTCTCAGCCCACGTGGGGGTCCCGGGACCTCAAGACTAAGCTTCCCTGGGCCCCAGAGACCTCTCCCCTGAGCCTGTCACCCGGGCCCCCTGGAATCTTTCATCTGATCCTCCTGGGCCCCTCTCTTGACCTGAGAGCCCTCCAAATCTCTCTCCTGGCCGTACTTGACCCAGCTGAGTCTTCCAAGTCACTCGTCCTGATACCCTCTGGGACCCCTGTAATTTCTTCCTTAATCCTACCTGGGCACCCCTGAATCCCTTGCCTGACCTCACCTGGGCTCTAGGACCCTTCACTGACTCACCTGGGCCCCAGGACCATCTGCTGAGCCCACATGGGAGCCTCAAGACCTTTTTCTGAGTCCAATTAGTCTCCCTGGAACCCTTTCCCTTTTCTCATCACCTCTTCCACATGATCTCCAGACCTTGCCTAAGCCCCCCAAGATCCCCACAAACACCCACTCACAGCTGAGCCCTTCCACCCCACCCCCCAGGTCCCAGTTCACCTGCCTGGTCATCATCGCCACCGTGGTCAGTACCTTCCTGTCCTTTCTGAGGCCCACAGTCAACGCATACGCCCTCAACGGCATTGCCCTGCACATCGTCTACATTGTGTTCCAGGAGTACAAGAAGTGAGTGGTGGCTGCAGGTTCCCCGGGAAGGTGGCTCCCATCCCCCCTTCAAATACCCCGCCCCCCCCTCGATGCTGACTGTGTTCCCAGAATGGAGTCCTCATTGATGCCAGGCTCAAGGAGGGGGTGTCCCTTCCCCAAGATCATTCACCAACTGACTGCAGAGCTTGTCTTTTTTATTATGAAAACCCCCAAACATACATACAAGTAGAGAGCGTTGCACCGTAATCCTCCATGTGCCCACTAACCAGACCCAACATCCGTCAGCATTTTGTCAACCTGCATTATATGTCTCCTCCAGATTTCATATAATGTCACTTATTAATTCTTCAGGATTTCACTCTCCTGATAAAGAATTATTTTTTAACTCATACTAGGTCTTAGCAGGATAGAGAAGGGGCTCTCAATTAGGGCCATTTGAGGAGAGTTGAATAAAAGAGTAATTTACAAAGGAGAGGGCAGGGTGTAGGAAAATCACTCAGGGTCATTTAGAACCCCTGTGCTAATAGAGTGGGATTCTATGACCATCAGGAGACCTGGGATTGGGGGGTGAAGGGAGGGAGTGATTGCAGGAATCCGTAAGGAGAGAGCCCATGGAGAGGGTCTCCTTGGCAGGAGCTGTGACCTCCAGTTGTTGGTTGCAGCCAGCCTGAGCCAACCCCACAGGGAGGGAGCTCTGAAAATAAATATTCTCCCTCCAGCCTTTGGTTTCCTGCTGGGGCTCCCCATTGGCCAACCCAACTAGAAACCATTGGCCAACCCAACTGGACATCATTGGCCAACCCAACTGGAAACCATTGGCCAACCCAACTGGACATCATTGGCCAACCCAACTGACCATCACTGGCCAACCAACTGGAAAGCACTGGCCAACCCAACTAGAAACCATTGGCCAATCCAACTGGACATCATTGGCCAATCCAACTGGAAACCATTGGCCAACCCAACTGGACACAACTGGCCAATCCAAATGGAAACCACTGGCCAACCCAAAGGGAAACCATTGGCCAATCCAACTGGAAACCATTGGCCAACTCAACAGAAAACCATTGGTCAACCCAACTGGAAGCCCAAGACAAGGGAGCCCCTGGATTTGGTCCCCATATCTTAGCACCCCAGGGCATAGGGCAGAGTGCAGAATGGTAGAGAAGGATCTAGAGGGACAAATGGAAGATATGGCACACATACTTCTAGCAAAGTTAACAATATTTCCTTAAAAGAGTATCTAATACCCAGTTCCCATCAATGTTTCCTCAGTTTCTGTAAGATGCGTTCTTACACCTGGTCTTGTTTAAATCAGGACCACAGTCTCCCAGGTCTTCTTTATTTCCTAATAGTCTCTTTCTCCCCATTTCTTCATGCCTCTGGTTTGATAACAGAAACTCAATCATTTGTCCTGTAGAACATTCCACATCCTGGACTTGGCTGACTGCTTCCTGTGGTGTCTTTCAAGGTGTTTCCTTATTTTGTGGCATTTCCTGCAAATTAATAGTTAGATCTAGATTTAGGTTTAAAATTTTTTTAAGCCAGAATATTTCACGTATGGCATTGGGTGCTTCTTGTTTCATCCCATTAGGACCTCATAACGAGCAGTCCTCCCACATTTAGTGCTGTTAAGGTTAGTCAGTGGGTTCAGATGGTGTCATCCAGTCCCTTCATTATGAAGTTTTCCACCGACCTTTCACCTAATGATTTCAGCAGCCACTGAGGCTTTGCACCTCGATGCATCATCTCATTAGGGGTTGCAAAAGGGTGATTTGTGGATTCTATTATTTCTTCCGCATTGATTATCTGGAGTTCTTCCATCAAGAACGACTTTCACCTGTCAACCTAGAAATACAGTTTGAACAGGAAAGACGAGATGGATAATTGATTTTTTCCCTTTATTGATCAATTTCCAGAGGAATGAATTGGTGACTTAGCCATCTCCAGTAGGGACCAATGAAGTTGTTTTTTTTAAAAAATATTATTACGAACTCATGGATGTTTATCTCTCTGAAGTGTTTCAATCCATTGCAGTTTACTATGCTATCTTTTTAACTCTTTATTTTTATTTATTTATTTATTTTATTGCGGTAACAGTGTTTTATAACATTGTATAAATTTCAGGTGTACATCACTATACTTCTATTTCTGCGTAGATTACATCATGTTCACCACCCAAAGACTAATTACCATCCATCACCACACACATGTGCCTAATCACCCTTTTCACCCTCCTCCCTCTCTCCTTCACCTCTGGTAACCACCAATCTAATTGCTGTGTCTATGTGTTTCTTTGTTGTTGTTTTTATCTTCCATTTATCACTGGGATCATACGGTATTTACTTTCTCCCTCTGACTTACTTCGCTTAGCATAATACCCTTGAGGTCCATCCATGTTGTTGCAAGTGGCAAGATTTCACCCTTTTTTATGGCTGAGTAGTATTCCACTGTGTGTATGTACCACATCTTCTTTATCCATTCATCCTTTGATGAACACCTAGGTTGCTTCCAAGTCTTGGCTGTTGTGAATAATGCTGCAATGAAAACCTTTTTATTTTGAAACAATTACAGAATCACAGCAAATTGCAAAAATAGTAGAGTCCCGTGTACCATTCACCTAGCCTCCCCCAATGGCAGCATCGTTTTATAATTTTATTTATTTATTTATATTTTCCCCCAAAGCCCCAGTAGATAGTTGTATGTCCTAGCTGCACGTCCTTCTAGTTGCTGTATGTGGGATGCGGCCTCAGCATGGCCAGAGAAGCGGTGCGTCAGTGCGCGCCCGGGATCCGAACCCGGGCCGCCAGCAGCAGAGAGCGCACACTTAACTGCTAAGCCACGGGTCTGGCCCCCAAGGGCAGCATCTTAAGTGACTATACACAGCGCAACTTCAAAAGGAGGAACTTGACAATGGGACAATATGGTTAACTAGAGACCTACTGTATTCAGATTTTACCAGTTCCTCCCCCCTTACTCTTTTTTGACGTCCAAATGGTTCCATTCTAGGCTAGCAGTCAGGACCTGCACTTTTAATTGTAAAGGAGTTACTGCCTCATTAACCCCTGATATGTTCTCTGCCAAGGGACACTAGGTTGGCTCTGCTGCTGTGGAAACACAGATTCTGATCTTGAGTTGTCCCAAGACACAGCCTCCACAGAATGCACCCTCTCACACACAGACACACACGTTCTCATAGCCACACAGACTCATACTCTCGTGCACTGATCCCCAGGTGCACACACACTTACACCCCCAAACACACAAACATGGAGGGTTTTGTTGGTTAAGAACTCTGCAATCTGGGATGGATGGTAATTAGTCTTTGGCTGGTGAACAGGATGTAGTCTACACAGAAATAGAAATATAATAATGTACACCTGAAATTTATTTAATGTTATAAACCAAGGTTACCTCAATTTAAAAAAAAGAAAAAAGAATTCTGCAATCTGATAGACCTTGTTCAGACCCCAGCTCTGCCGCTGACTAGCTGTGTAACCTTGGGGTGGGGCTGGGGCATAAATTAATCTCACGTGCCTCAGTTTCCTCATTTACAAAATGGATGTAATAGCGCTGTTGTGAGGACTGAATTTCCATCCGAAGCATTTTTAGAATGGCACCTAGCGCCCTGTAAGAACCACGCAGATTTGGCATCTTCCTTCCTGCCTCTGGATCCTTCCCTCCTCCCAGCCTCATCTCCTTGGATGGAGGAATTTCCCATCAGCCTCTTCAGGCTCTGCTATCTGAGTCAGGTTCTGATCTCCCTTCTTCCCTCCTTAGGACCAGCGATAAGGAGTTTTGTCGTGTAATTGAGGTCTCCATGCTTTTATGGGCTCTTGCATTTGCCAGCTGGATTAGCGACCGTTTTCTCTGCAGTTTCTGGCAGCGGATTAATTTCTACTACCTGCACAGCATCTGGTAAGCACTCAGCCTATGATCGGGGCCTCCAGAACCAGGAAATCTCAGATGCCAGAGCTTGGAGCAGGAGCCTGGGGGCAGAAAGGGGAGGCACAGATGCGGGGATGTGTGTGTGTGTGCATGTAGGGTGCTGGTTGCAGTCAGGGGTCAGGTCCAGAAGGTCCCTTTGAATGGTCAGGATCTATGAGAAGTAAGGAGAGGACTGAGGTGGGGCTGGGGACATCAAGCTGGCTGCAGGGACATCTTGTGCTCTCACCATCCTCTCCCTGCATCCCACAGGCATGTACTCATCAGCATAACCTTCCCTTATGGCATGGTCACCATGGCCCTGGTGGATGCCAGGTACGAGATGCCAGACCAAACCCTCAAAATCCGCTACTGGCCTCGGGACACTTGGCCCGTGGGGCTGCCCTACGTGGAAATCAACAATGACAACAAGAAATACTGAGGTCTGCCGGCTTCCTGGCTATGCAACCACCTGCCAACTCACCTGCGTCTTGAGGAGAGACACCTGGACCAGGAGTCTGAGAGACACAGTTCCTTTCTCCAGCTCCCTTTCCGCATCCTCCTTCTCCTACGCGGCCCCACTCCAAGGTGGGGGATGGACTTCACGATTTCTCCGTGCAGCAGCCTGATGACCCTGGGGGGCTGCCTGGCATAGCTCCCCTCCATGACCTGCTCCTGCTCTCTTTCATTTACTCCTTTGTGATCACTGGTTCTCCAATGTCACAGGACCTGGTGAGGCTGGATCAGCAGACGCTGTGATTACCTTGCAGCACCAGGGAATACCTCAGACTGGGGCTTGGACCTTGGTGCTTGGGGAGCAACCCAGAGAACGGACATGTTTTCCCGTTACCTTATTCTACACTCCCACATGTTTGCAGAGACCTCACGGACCCTCACACACTCCTGCATGTGCTCCCGTGGAGTTGTGGGGCCATCTCACTGGTTGATGGCGGAGCAACGTGGAAGCCGGACCTGGGCAATCTGGGTGCTGTTGGGGCTCGGGCATCAGGAGGGGACTTGGGGTGGCCAGGGTCTCAGAGCAAGGGACAAGGGGAGGATGGTTTCCACGGTGGTTAAGAGCACAGGGCTTGGAGTCAGGTAACCTAAGGTTGAACCCTACTCCACCATTTCCTAGTTGTATAATCTGAGGGAAGTGATTTTTCTTACCTCTGAATCTTGAGCCCCTTGTCTGCAAAATGGAAATATTCCTGCCTTCATGGGATTTCTGTGTGGATAAAACAAGATAATGTGTATAAAGTGCTTAGCATGGAGTCTGGCAAACATTCGTCCATCCTTTAAGTTATCCATCCATCCATCCATCCTTCCATCCATCTATTGAACTCCATTGAACTATCCCTCCATCTGTCTTTTAACTTACCCATCCATTCGTTAATTAACTCATCCTTTTACCTATGATCTATCTTTTTATCCATCCATTGAACCATTTATTGAACCATGCATTCATCCATCCACTTATCCATGCATCCATCCATCTATCGAACTCCACTGAACCATCCATCCATCTTTTTGTGTGTGTGTGTATGAGGAAGATCAGCCCTGAGCTAACATCCATGCCAATCTTCCTCTTTTTGCTGAGGAAGACTGGCCCTGGGCTAACATCTGTGCCTATTTTCCTCCACACACCACCACAGCATGACCTGACGAGCGATGCCTTGGTGCGCGCCCGGGATCTGAACCCAGGCCGCCAGCAGCGGAGTGTGCACACTTAACTGCTATGCCACGATGCCAGCCCCCATCCATCCATCTTTTAATTTACCCATCCATTAATTAATTAACTCAACCTTTCACCTATTATCTATCTTTTTATCCACCTGTTCATTCATTAATGTATCCATCCATCCATCGAACCATTCACTGAACCATACATTCATCCATCCATCCATCCATCCATCCATCCATCCATCCATCCATCCATCTATCCATCCATCCATCCATCCATATATCCATCCATATATCCATTATTCATCCATCATCATCACTCATTATCCTTCCACCCATCCATTATCCAACTATTATCCATTCTTCATCCATCCATCCATCCATCCATCCATCCATCCATCCATCCTTAGCCATCTATTTATCTATTCATTTATCCATCCAAATCATCAATCCTCCTTCCACTCATCTATTTTCCCACCTATTTATTCATTCATTCAACTCTTCAACAAATATATATCAAGTTCCTACTATATCTAACACTATTCCCTGAGGATACAAGACAACAGAGACCTGCAAAGTCCCTGTCCTAACGAGGAGACACATGTTAGACAAATAAAAAGACACACAAACAAGGCCCTTCCAGACGCTGATGGGTGCTGCCAAAGACATAAAGCATGGGGATGTTCTAGAGGACCATGGAGTGGAGGAGAAGCCCTTTCAAATGGGTGGTCAGTGGGCAGTGCATTTTCGAGGTGAGTTCTCAACCACAAGAGGAAACCAGCCACGCCAAGAGCTGGGCAGGACCATTCTGGCGAGAGGGAATGGCAGGTGTGAAACTCTTGGGGTGGGAATGAACTAGAGCCACAGAAAGATAGCTGTTGCTGGAGCTTAGTAGATGCGGGAGAGTGCATAGCAAGAAGTTCTTAACCTGGGGGGCTGGGCTGGGTTTCAGTATCCAGGGACCACTTGACATTCTCCACAAAAGATGGTGGTCTGGACATGATATCTAGGCCTCTGGAGTGCATCCCTCCAAAAGGAGTAGAGGCAAGCCCATCTGGCCTGCTAGAGAGATGGAGAAATTGAAAAAGGAGGGGCCACACATATTTACTGAGTGGCTACCACGGGCTGTATGCCCATGACACACGTCATGGAACCTATCGCCCCTCCCAGACCCCTCCAGATAGATGAGAATATTCTCATTTTATAGATGTGGCTCAGAGAGGGCAAGCAACTTGTCCAGGGCCACACAGCCTGGACTTCAACCAGGATTGTCCTTCTGCAAAGGACACACACACCACAGTGAGTCAGCAGTGGATTGAACCTGAATTCTGGGTTCCTTGCTTCCAGGTCCTTCTGACTTTATTGTTCTAGAAACCAAAGTTCTTTATCTATGGCCACAGGATGGATCGTGGTGGGAAGAGGGGGCGGAGAGGGATGGAGTTTCTGCAAACTAGTGAAGTCATCTACAAAACATTGTATGTCTTGGTGTTTTTTGGGAAGAGAGGAGCTGTGTTTTCATGAGATTCTCTAAAGGAGTGTTTGACACCCTAAAAGTTAAGAACCTCAGTTCAAAACCTTCCAGAGGAGGCAGATAGAGAAGCATCTGCCTTCTGCCCCCCATGCCTCTAGCCCTAAGTGCATGGCCATGATTTGTCCCCAGCATCTGTCTCCTGGCCCCTGCTGACTCCTCCTCACAGCCTCCTCTTGGGGCATGGAGGCAGCAGATAGATAGCAGGGAGCACTCCTGGTGGCAAAGGACAAAATGTTCAACTCCAGCTGGTTGAAATGACCAACAGACAATCAACATATTTACTTTTGAAGTTGAAGATCAGGCAGCAGGTATGGCTGGATCCAGGCTTCAAATGATGTCATCAGGGCCATGCTCCCTATATCCCTCTGGTCTACCTCATGGCTGCCAACAGCACTAGACTTATGTCCTTTCCAGTTGAAAAGTATACACTAAAGCTCCAACGGCACATGAAAAGATGCTCAACATCATTAGTCATTAGGGAAATGCAAATCAAAACCAAGATACCATTTCCCATCCACTAAGTTGGCCATAGTTAAAACAACAACAACAACAACAGAAGACAAGTGCTGGAGAGAATGTGGAGATATTGGAACCCTGCTGCATTGCTGGTAGGAATGTAAAATGGCACAGCCACTGTGGAAAACAGTTTGGAGGTTCCTCAAAAGTTAAACATAGAATTACCATATGATCCAGCAAATCCACTTCTAGGTATATACTCAAAAGAATTGAAAATAGGTATTCAAACAAATACTTGCACAGAAATGTTCGTAGAAGCACTTTGATAAGAGGCAAAAGATGGAAACCACATGAGTGTCCATCAATGGATGAATGGATGAACACAACGTGGTCCATCCATACGATGGAATATTATTAAGCCATGAAAAGGAGTGAAGCCCTGACACATGCTACAACATAGATGAACCTTGAAAACATGATGCTCAGTGAGAGAAGCCAGACACAAAAGGACACATAGTGTGTGATTCCATTTATTCTGGAAATGTCCACAATAAGCAAATCCATAGAGAAAGAAAGCAGATAAGTGATTGCCAGGGGCTGAGAGGAGGGAATGGGGAATGACTGTTAATGGGGACAAGGTTTCCTTTTGGGGTTTAGAATGTCTTGGAACTAGACAGAGGTGATGGATGCATAATACTGTGAATGTTCAAAACGCCACTTTAATATGGTTAATGGTTAGTTTTATGTCATGTGAATTTTACCTTATTAAAAGACCAAAGTCACTCTCCATTGGTCTTAGATGATGACCCATCCCCCAACCGATCCCAGTAGCCAGAGGGATATGATCCTTTGATACTTCAGTCATGTGCTTCCTCCTCGGGGTGGAGGCTGGGAGACTCCCACTCTGACTATAGGTCTGAGAGTGGGGAAGAGGCAGCAAGTGGGGGCCAAAGCCCTTCATCAAGGCTTGTACCCTGTCATGAGTTGGCATTCTTCCGGAAGGGCTGCCAACTTAAAATTCACATACAGACGCCTTACAGACTTATATTGGCCCTGGGAGGAACCCCAAAATCAGGGACTGTTGCCAGAAATAAAAGGGAGAATGATGCTAAGGGAGAGAAAATTTGTAAATGCTCAGTGTACTGCGCTTTTCCAGGGAGATGCCTTGGTGCATGTATTTTCAGTCTGCTCCAGAACTATTCATGGCTCCCCATTGCCTACGGGATAAGGGTAAAATGCCTCAGGGTGACATTCAAGGTCTGCTGAGTTGAAGTTAATCTGGGATAGGTCTCCAACTGGCCACCAGGCTCTGTTTCAACTTGGTCATATTCAATATTGCTATGAGTGGCTGTGTGTACATTGGTGGCTGGCAAGAAACTGAGAGGTCCAGGGAACACCCTGGGGGCCACAAAGAGGAGTCCTAAAAAAACCTTGAAGGGCTGAACCATCTAGAATGTGAAAGAGGAATAGATGTCAAGCCCTCTCCTTGGGTGCAAATAAACTGGACCGCTAGAGGGCAATAGAGACCTAATGTAGCAGTTCAGTTACAGAGAGCAAGCTAGCCTTTCCAGGTCCAAAATGTTACTTTCTAGCTATGGGCCTTGGACCAGTTATGTCTGCTGCCTGTGTCTTAATTTTATTGTTTGTAACATCAGGATAACATGTATCAATCATGAGCTAGTTATGTCTTCCGCCTGTGCCTCAATTTCATTTTTTGTAACATTGGGATAACATGTATCAATTATGCATTCTGCCACGTGCTCAGATTACTATTTGCTTTCCTATCTGTTTTTCTTTAAAGCTACCCTCTTGGCTCAGCTGATGGATTTGAATAGGAAACATTGT